CACGGATCCTGTTTGTCACCCGATCCGGCGTTTGCGAATGGAGGCAAAATTTTGCGAACGGAGCTGTTCGTGACCTGAATTGGTCGTGAACAGAAGCGTTTGTGCCCCGAGGTACCACTGTATCTCATTCCTTTCTCTGCTTTAGCTTAAACTTCTAGAGAGGCATCAAATTCTTACATGTTAACGGATGTTTTGTTATTATAGTTATCATTTAAGGTAAGCTTGAAAGACTTAATTGTAATTGTAATCTCAATTATCTACCCTATGTAGCACCAAGACAACTTCTGAATCTCACCTGTGGTACATACATCATCAATTGAGATCCACAAATCTACATGATGACTGAAAATTTAGTACTTTGGGAGCATAACATATTAGGGGTAGGAAAGTCACTGATTTTTATATATTCATTATCAGCTTGTTGAACTTCAACATTTTGCTTCTTCATTTAATTTGATATAGAAACCTAAAATACTACAAGAAATGTGTTGTTTTTTTTAAAATAAAAATCCAGAGGGCAGTGAAGCAAAAAACATGTTCAACAGATGCAAACTTAGTGTGATGGGTGAGTAAACACAGTGGGTACAGATTGTGAAGGCAAGAGCAGTGTAAGCAAAGTTCTCTCTAAGCCAGGAAAGCAGATATAGAAGTCATGATGTCTTCTGAGCAGCACAGCTGGCCCAGGGGCAATATTTTAGGAAAAACAACAACACATAACATACTTTAGATTTACAAGTTCCCAAATTATTAATTTTTTTAATTGAGTAGTTACATCTCTCTCTCTTTTGCTTTCCTCTTTGCTTCACCTTTCCTTTCCCACTAATGCTTAATCCTCCTTTGGCCTGGACCTGGTAGGAGGTCCACATTCTTCAGCCTAGCTTTCAGGCTAGAAATCTCTCCTTCCTACTTTAAACCCCCTCTTCCCACACCGTTTCTCTTTTTCCCTCTCTTGCTCTCTTGCCTTCCTTTGCTTACCTCTTTGGAGAAATGCGCTTTGTTAATACACGGGCATGGGATGGCTGCAATGTGTGCACAACTTAGAGACAACAACATTGAGTGTGAGGTTGCAGTGAGATAGTAGGAAATCTGTGATGAGTTTGCTTGTAAGTTTTTAGAGGGAAAAAAACCAGCTGTGCCAACTCCTCTCTCACCAGTTTGAATTAGGGTTATAATACTTTCTGTCTACAAACCATATTTCTAATTATAATTGCCCTTTCCTGAAGTTGCAAGGCAAATGTAGAGTTACTAATATGCTATACTGAGCCTGCATTTACTTTCAATACACGAGCACATGCACAGGTGACCTGCTTATCAACTAATCACTGATACAGGCCGTGTTCTGAAATGGGTGTAATTAATTTATTGCAAAGAATTCAAATAATATCATTGCTTATTATTTTTAAGAGTTTTCTAAGTTGTCCTCCCATCTTTTCAAAGATCAGATTTGGGGTGACTCTTTTGTTCATTCTAAAAACAATGACCACATTTGAAAGATGACGCAGACACCTCATCCTTTGTAGGTATCTTTCTTTCAGCTGAAACTCCTGGGAGGACATCAAATTCTTTTGTACATATCACCCACCCCCCAGCTGAATTAAGCTTAAGTCCTATTAATATTCAAGGTATGTTTTGTTACCAAACTGAACTTAAATGTGCAGTCCAATCTACATTTTTTTTTCCTGAATCAGTGAAAGGATGCATGTTGCATCCTAGATTTGAAGTCTCATAATGCAGTTTATTACTCTGGGCTTCCCATAGTGCTTAGAGATTTTGATTCTAGAGCTGCTGACATATCAGTTTCATTTCTCAGCCTCTGAATTTCCATGTTTAAATCCAGCAGAGTTTTGGCAAGTTTCTGGTTCTGGAACTTCATCTCCAGCTACAAAGAAACAAAAGATGGTAATTGCTTTCAACAGATTATCACCATCCAGAAGGGCTTAATTAGTAGCAGAAATCAGTCTTGCCACCATTTCAGGTCACATTTCAGCCCTGAAATGTTTGTAAGCAAATACATATAAAAGAACATTCAAGCAAGTGCAGAATGTATTTTTCACAGCGCTTAATAAACCAGAATCAGTTGTTCCAGCCCTCACATATAAAGGGACTGTATTCATAGTATGATTTAATAATCAGATGAACTAATACTAAATATAATACTATAATACTGATGAGTCTCAAGGGGTCCTGACCTACAGTTTGAGCACCCTTGACTTCAAGGGTGACTGAGAATCCATTGGTGACCAAGTGGCAAAATGCTGAAGTAACACTTGGGCTTCAAGTTAAAATATAAAGTTGCATTTGATTCCAAGAATTTGCTTTGGAGCATTCAAGGTTGCAAACATGGCCCCTATCCACACCTACTTAAAGCACCTCCCTCTTTTCCTAGGATTACATGGCTGCTCTTCGCCAGAATAAAGCAATGGGAAATCACTTCTATGACCCTGCCAAGAAAACAATTTGGGTACAGTCCCCAGGCATTGTGCTTGATTTGAGAAATGTTAGGTTCTTTAATCCTACCAAATGATGAACATTCCTCCAGTAAAGGAAGGGCAGTTTCTTAAGGATGTGTATTTGGTCTTTCATATGTCCTAAGGCCATAGTTTGCAACCTGTGCATCAGAAACCTGATTTCTAGTACTATTTGTCAGGCTCCTTAATCAGGTCTCAGCAATAAATCACAGATAAATCACTGAGTTGACACAGCTCCTAGTCTAGGACATGGCAAAGGTGTGCCAGACATGCCTTGGCTAAGGAAGGGCTTTATTTCAAACAAGAATGAAGCCAAATGAAAGGGTTGATTGCCCATGAACCATGTGAATGTGCAAATGTCTCTGATATCCACAGTGGTTCAACCCCTTAGCTTTCCCTTCCTGCACATCCCATGAAGTAGCAAACATGTTGTGCGGTGCTTGGTGTTCTTAAAGTTGTTGACTCTTTAAAGAACTACCAACTCGGGCCTCAGGCTCTTGGCTCTTAATTTACTTCTCACACTATCCTGGCTAAAAATCAGAAGTAGCTATTATCCCTCATGTTTAAAGGAGTAAAGCATGAAGAAGTAAGGCTCCAAATGAAATAGACACTGTGGGGTATGTGTATATGTGTGAGGGGGGTCAAAAATGTCAATATGGTGGATGGAGCATCTGCCCCTTCTGTATATATGTCGACATTGTACACACACTCAGAAAGGTCAGGATTTGCCTTGCCACATTCTGTCCACCACCTTGCTGACTTTGACACACCCCATGGATGCCGCTGAATAGAAGGATTGCCTTCTTAACATCCCAGCATCCACAGCCCCAATCAGATAATCTGTGATTGCTTCATCAGCATATATATTAAAATTGGAACAATACTGAGAATCCCCAACCTGGTGTCTTTTTGCTGGGTTGGATTTCATCTTTATAATTTCCAGCAAGTTACCTGGAAATTATCAGGTTGGGAAAGGCTGATGTAAAAACTATGGATACTTCCAAATGAGGTTTGTTGTTTTTTTTAAATGATGGAATTATCTTTGCTTCACTCATGGAACTTTAATATACTGGAATATTCTGGAACCAACCCAATCTCCAAGAATGAAGAATGAAACACAGGAGAAGTAGAATGTCCATCTGCCTTTATTCAGGCCATATTTCTAAGTCTGCACTAAAAAAAGAGACTTTTGAAAGTGCTTTGACTTAAGTCTGAGTAAAAGACTAAGCTGATATATGGGGGTGGGGGTGTTGATTATTTTAATCAAAGGATCTCAGCAAAAAAAGATAAGGATTTAGTAAAAGTTTACTTTAATTAATTTGCAAGGAAATTAAATACTTGCCAAGGGCAAGGTATTCCTGCAAAGGGCTGTTTTTCAGTCTAGTAGTGATTTTTTCCCCCTATACTTTTTGTCCATCTACTATAAACAAGTGTAAGAAATATAGATTACCATCTGTGCTAGCAGCAGTGCAGCTGAGGGTACACTGGGCTGTTCCTTGTTTTAAAACTGGGGTGACACTTCAAGCAGAAGTAAAAACATGGTCTGTCAAGGAGCTAGGTAAGATTTTTTTTAAAAAAAAACCCAACTTGGCAATAGTGTGTTTTAACAATGATGTCAATTAGTTGGTAAACACACAGCACTGCCTTTCTAGCATTAAGGGTTTTGTTGCATCTTAAAAAATGGCACCAGAAGATGAAAAGATATTCCCCAAACCAGAGGCTGTTCTGAAGAGTTGAACTGCCATTTACATTTTGTCCTGACAACATACCAGGAAGGAATACCATGATTGCCAATCTTGTTTCACGCACCAGAGTATGATCATAAACATACACAGTTTCAAAGTGATTTCAGTTGGATACACCAATTTAGAGCCCAGCCAGTCAACTGTACGCTGCTGCAAAGTTAAAACTGGGTGAATCTTGAGTATCTTCCCTATGCAGCTTATGCATTTTTTGACCACAGCAGGCCCTTCTACTGATGAATCACGTAAGTGTATTTCTTTCACGATTTGACTCAGCCTCTCTGCACTGCTTCTGTTCCAGTGGATCAGACTAAGAGATCCTGTTTTTAACCAACCAAGATTCTTTGTGTTCCTCTTCCTTACTCATTACTTTTTTCTTGTTGTGCTACAGTTTTTTTTAAAAGAGAGCTGACAAACAGGGTGATGATATAAAGGCTTCATAAAATCATCATCATCATCATCATCATCATCATCATCATCATCATCATCATCATCATCATCTGGATAAGGCAGCAAGGAGGAGAACAAATGATTCCATCCTTTGGGCAAGAATGGCTGTTGCTCCACTACTGGTGTTCATTTTCCCTCCCCACCTTTTGTTCTTTTTATGTCATGTCTACAGAAGCAGGGAGTATAATATTTGCACAGCACTTAGAGAAGTTTTGGAAATTTGTAACAGCAAAACAAGTACACTGGGCAATTCTGGGACTACAGATCACCCCTTTGAATCCCCAAGGGAGGGTGCCAACCATCTCCCTTGCCCATGTCACTCACCAATTCTACACGAAGCCAGGCTATGCCCTTCTCTATGTGCCCCCTGTGCAGGTCGTCTTGAGTGGGCACAGCTCTTCTGCCACGGTCCACATCTTCAACAGGTCTAGGGAGCAGGGGAGTAGCTGCTACCCCCGTTGCCTGCCCATGGAAAGCCTGGAGCAGCCTCTGCTTTATGTCCTCCAGCAAAAAGCTGGAGAAAGCATCTTCGTTCTCTTCTGGGTTCATTGGGCAAGGCTGAGATGGAGAGCAGTGGAGAGATGCGGCAAAGGCCAGCCTGTCTCCCACACTCTCCTCTTCCCCGTGCTTATTGTTTCCAGCCTTGAGCCGCTCTGGCTCCTGTGTGCAGAAAGCCCATCCTCCCCTCCCCTCTCTGTATATCATTCCAAAGAAAGTGGGAGAGAAGTGGGAGGTAGACGGGGTAAAGATCAACATTTTGAATCAATCTCTCCTTTTTCTCTCTCCCTCCCCACCTCTTTCGCTTGTGCTGCATTGGAAGGAAAGGCACAATCTAGGGCATTTCATTCCTAAAGTGCAATGATACAATTTATTGTTCTCGGATAGATTAGTCTCACTTCCATCTTGCTTTTTAGCCAGCTCATCTACATACTTTACCATACTATAGTCATAACATAGCAAGATAATTCCCAAACCAAACCTGCTCAAACCCTAGGAAAATCCTTAGCAGTAAATACAAAATCAGTTGCCCAAAACTAATTTTCAGCAGCTCAACAGCTCAGTCCCTGAATACCCACTGAAAAAGGAAAATCTTGAGTTCTGAAACCTAGAAACTCAAGCCTCCTTAGCTGAAACATTTTCATTGAAGTTCATTTGTAAACCATGTGTTCTTAATTTCCAAATCAACTGCATTCAGTATTAAAACCATTGCATATATCTGGACACTTTTGCTAGCAGCCTAATCCCACAACTGTAGGAGTTTGCTCTGGCATCATGCAATCCAAGAATTTTAAACTGATTCATTTCAACAGAAGTATTTCTGGCAAGTTAGAAATCACATCAGTTCATAAGGATGCTCTGTATTTAGATTCCACAGATGTGGGTGCAGAGTTCTTTATGCCAGGAAAGTCAGTGGTGCTTTGAAGTCTGGACCTCATTCGTCATCACATCCCTAAATTCAGATTCATGCAGGACACAGATGTGTACCAAGCCAATTTGATTGGGCGACTAAGCATACTGGTTGTTAAGAAAGTGAGGCAGAGAAAAAAATGTGCATTTTTAAGCTGGCTCGTATTATGTAGAAACAGTAAATAAGATCACATGCGCACCATCCCTTGCCCATGATTTAAGATAGGCCAGATCATAATTCTTTTCCCTGATGCCTTGCAATTTACAACTTACAAGGCCACAAAAGAAACTATAGGAACTTGTCATACTTTTGTCCATTTTCAAGGGCACCCACGATAATCTGGAACTAATAAAAAGGTTGACAAGCACACAACTGCAATTATTATGCAAAAAGCCAAGGCTGGGAATAAAAGGTCAAACCTTTTAAGACAAGAATGCAAGACTTTTTGTTGTGGAAATGAACTGAGGATAATGTACCAGACTATAAAATGGAAGAGAAGAAGGACACAAATTATAGGAGCTCTTCAGGAAATCTTTATGGATGTCAGCAGATTTTTTTTCTTCCTGCCACTGGTGGTGGGTTTATCTTGCTTTTGCTGTGTGTCAGAGGGAAAAAGAAGTTAGAAACTTGTGTAAACATACTGTTTCTACTGAATGGCTCTGAAAAAAAAAAGGCTAGAGAAAGTGGATCACGCCTGCTTCTCCAACCCAGTATCTTCCAGCTGTATTGGATTACAATATCCATCATTTGCAAGCCATGGTGCGTGTTGTAGTCCAACAAAATCTAAAGGGTATCAGGTTGAATAAGGCTGTGTGAGACGTGCCGTGCAGGTTGGGGAGGGTGCAAGGGGTGTGCAAGAGGTGCTGTGTGGGTCAGGGAGGCTGTGTGTGAGTGGTGTGGCGTAAGTCAGGAAGGGTCTGGGAGGGCGTGTAAGGGTGTGAGGGGGTGCCCGAGAGGGATCATGCAGGTCAGGGAGGGGGTGCAAGAGGTGCCGTGTGGGTCTGGGAGAGTGTGCAAATGGCTGGCACAGTGTGAGCGCAGAGGGGCTAGGGGAGAGTGTGCGGGTGGGGGAGACTTACTCCAGTGACTTGCGACCTTCCCTGCTGGCTACTCCATTGACTTTCTGGGGAAGCCGGCAGTTGGTTGCAAATGGCAATCACATGATCGCAGGACACTTGGCAACCAGTCATAAGTGTGAACGGGTTGCCAAGTAGCCAGGTCGTGATCATGTGACCATGGGGTGCTGGGACAGCCAGAACTCCAAGGACCAGTTGTAACAACCATTCATTCAGTGTCGTCGTAACTTGGAACAGACGCTGACGGAATGGTCGTAGGTCAAGGACTACCTATATATTCCTCTTTGTCTGGTATTCCATTATCATGCAGCCTTCATAAGCAGAACACAGCATTAACATAACAAGCAATTAATACCAAATTCTAAATAGAATTTATTCACAATCAGAATGCTATGGAGTTGCAGAACTGGTGACAACAACCTTTTGCAATGGTCCACAAAATAATACCATGCTTATAACTCTTCGAGTGCTAGAAGTTATTCTTCTGCTAAAGAATGAATGCTCTATATAAAATAGTTTTAATGGAGAAGTTTTTATTGTCTGTATATCCTTGCCATTGGAGGAAAATAGACATATAAGCAGAGCTAACTGTAATGTAGAATAGCTTTCATATGATTTAGATCACAAGTTCCTTTAGTTGCTCGTGTTTACATTGTATGGAAGTTTCTCCCGCCCGCCCCCCTCCCATTAACACTAGAATTTACTTTTGGATATTTCAGCACAAAATAAGGTGTCTTATGCCAGCAAATAGAGGCAGGGAGAATGTAATTTTATCAGTTCATTGTGTTTGAAGTATTGATTTTTTTAAAAAAGGTCACCTTCAAACAGATGACAGTTCTCTGATGGCCTTTTAAATCAAAGATGGTTTTTTAAAATAGAACACTGCTTTCTATTTGACCACTCTACATCTGCATCTGAAAATGCTATTTGTATCCAGTATTGCAGTCAAAGGAGAATTTATTAATGTAGATTAAATTTTTTAAAAGCAATGCTTTTGACCCATTCCCCCCTTAAAACAAACCTTGCAGCATGATGAAATTCTCCACCCAATATCTAAATCTTTTGTTTAATTTGAGATAGAGGTAGCGTCACACAAAGACAATCCTTTACTGTTTGTGTAAGAAGAGATTGTTTCAACTTGCCACTGATAAGGTGAATCAGGCTTATAAGTGTTAAGATTTTGTTTCAACTGCTGAACTGTGACTGAATTGAGAACCAGCATGAAGACAACAGCCGAAACAAACAAGGTGTAAAAATTCACTGGAGATCCACACTGCGCGTTAATCCAGGGCAGTAAGGAGAGATGTAAATAAAAATAATTAATAAAATAAAAATAAGGGATGCTTTAGAGCTGTGTGAGTAGTATATTGACACTGGGGTTCATATTTCATACTAAACCATGATTGTTTAACCATTGTTTATTGATAAATTGCAATTGGCAAGATGGTAAAACATAATTCATTTTTCGTAATCATCAGTTGCCATGTTCATTCAACAGACTATGCCAGAACCAAACAAATCCACATGATGGCTTAGCAGGTTGTGGGAAAGAGGCCTGACCCTTGAAGACTTGTTGTGTATATGTTGCTATCTTATCTAGTGCAGTGTTTCTCACCCTCAGCAGCTTTAAGATGTGTGGACTTCAGCATGCTGGCTGGGGAATTCTAAGAGTTGAAGTCCACACATCTTAAAGTTGCTGAGGTTAAGAAACATTGATCTAGTGTGATTGAGAATGGCTGCAAAGACTAGCTAGCTCATTCCAGAAAGAGCTGGCCAGGAAAAACTATATTTGCATCAAGAAAACAAGTACAGGTGGTTCTCACTTACCAACCATTTGTTCAGCAACCGTTGAAGTTACGACAGTGTTGAAAAAAATAACTTTACAGCCCATTTATTGCCATTTACGACCTTTGCAGAATCTCTCTGTCATGTGATCACCATTACAGTCAGTACGTGTTGTCCTGTGCCTGACTTGTGGTTTTTTCAAGGCCAGGATTATATTGCTTAAGACAAATGATGATATCGAACCTCCTGGTATTCCATGTATAAAAGCCAACCAAAATGGTGGCTTGCTAATCAGAATCAACAGTGCCTTCTGCTGTTATGACTTGAGAGCTGATGATCTGAGAGCTGCTGCTATCTGGATGATGGACACTATCTCCAATAGGTCTAGGCTGAATTCCAAAGACATAGAGGTAGTCCTCGCTTAATGACCACAACTGGGATCAGCAACTCTGTTGCTAAGCAATGCAGTCGTTGAGACATCACATGACCAGCTTATGACCTCACTTCCACCATGGTCATTAAGCAAATCACCTGTAGTCATTAAGCAAGACATCAAGTGACCCTGACTTGCAATTTTGCTGCTGGCTTCTCCACTGACTCTGCTTCTTAGAAGCTGGCTGTGAAGTGTGCAAATGGCGATCATGTGACTGTGGGGATACTGCGACAGTCGTGAGGAAGTTACTTTTTCAGCGCTGTTGTAACTTCAAACAGTCATTAGACATGGCAGTTATTAAGCGAGGACTACCTGTACTTCATTTCAACCAACTCAAGTGAGGTGAAGCACCGAAGTGAAAGGATGCCATGGATCAAAGCATTGAATTGGAGTAATTCCATCACATTATTCTGGACACTAAATGAGGGTGGTCTCTTTTTTTTGTGCATGCAAAAACTCATGGATCATAATCACGTGAGCGCAGGGGTGCTGTGACAGCCAGAACTTTGAGGACTGGTTGTATCACTCACACATATCTATACACATATACAAAAGTACACATACATCCACATCCCTGGACAGAACACCTCTAACATCACAAGCATTTTTATTTTTTTTCAAATAATTTTATTAAGATAACAATTGGAAAAGTAAAAACTAATACAAACTACAAAAATATAAAAAGAAAAAGAAAAAGTGCAAGGGGAAAAAAGGAGAAATAAAAATAGATACACATACATCCACATCCCTGGACAGAACACCTCTAACATCACAAGCATTTTTATTTTTTTTCAAATAATTTTATTAAGATAACAATTGGAAAAGTAAAAACTAATACAAACTACAA